TGAAAGCTGTTCCTGAAGCTAGGCCAACAAGCCGGGCCTAAACTATATGTACCATCGTGTCGAGTTCTCCTCCTCATTTTTGTTCATCGTGCAGAGAGTGTTCAATAGTAAAACCTACCAGTCAGTCAAAGACTTCTATAACAGCAATTGGCAAAGCCGAGAGTAGGGAATTGACACAGCAGATAATCCCTGTTGATTAGCAACTAAGAAGGCCTTGATTCAAGCACGAATAACCTATTATGTAACGTTAGACTTAGAGCGGAAAGTGAATAGTGAGACCCCTTGTTCGAATACTCTGATTTTCTCCGATCGAATATCCGAGTAAAGAAGAGGACCAAGGAACTACAAGTTATCCTATCATTTCCACTGGTGGTGTTCGTGGACGTTGCAACGTAACTTGTAGTTCCTTGGTCCATTTCTTTACTATAAATTACTCCTTGGCTCTCCATCCGGGACTATCCGATTATTCGAGTTGTTTTACCTTCTACAGACGACATTATAAAACACCTGAGTCTCACATTACGCAAGCCATGATTGAACAAGCTATTGGCCCTTTTCTAAAGTCTATCATTTTAGGTGGTCTAACCAGGCTCCACTTTTCACCACTCAGCCTGCATATCATTTGTTAACTGCTTGCTGCTCAGAAACTGTAGACTGTTACAGAAAATGCATGTACTATGCATGACGAGTACTCGGATTTATTTCTAGTGCGAGTTTTTTTGCAAAAATAACGAGTGACAAGTCTATTCAGTGTAATTTTTTCACCACTGCCTACTTCATTATTGCACACCAGCACCCATTGCTAACGACACCATAACAATGTATGCAATCATGCATATCTAAAACAGTAAAAGGATATTTTGGTGTAAAGTACATTATTACAATTTGACTCCTGCTGGTCTGCCAAAGATGTTGTGATAAGTTGGCTGGACAGTGGAGCCTGCCGTTGGCGGATAATGCTGCCAAGAAATTTGACAGAATTTAGAATTTTCCCGGTATGTTTATGCATGTTTGGTACGTTGGCAAAAGAAGAAGTGGAGATGAATTCAAGGAAGTGCCGGCCTTAAAGTTTGTATGATTCTCCCACGAGTCTTATCCACCACGGGCTGGCTGCGGCAAATCAATTTTGTCCCTTGGATTACAGGGTTGGTTTCGGTATACATGCGGACGTGACATCTGCCCGTTACAAAACCCACTCATCCATATTAGTGAAATATCGTATCTGTTTCGCTGAGGGATCCTGGCCTGTATATTGCAACTATGTACTACATGTGCCTTGTGAGCCCCTTGCGGGCATTCAGTGATCCACACGACCTCATGGTCACAAGTGGGGATAGGTCCAAGAGATCAGTTTGCACGCTCGAATTCACCTATACAGCAACATCTCCACCAGACTCACTTATGTCGGGGCGGATGGGATAAAATTAGACTTTTTTTACACGAAGAACAAAAACCCAGCTGGAGACAAACGTTAACAACAAGAAAGATAACAAAGTTACAGGGAGGACGAAGATGCGACTAGAACACAGAAGTTGAGGGTTGACAGAAGAAAAACTATTGCGTCGGGGCTGACTATCCACTAGTGCAGCTGTGTAGGTGGGGCGTTGTGAACTCCACCGACCAAAGGTCTCGGTATCATTGCACACCACGCGCACCGGGGAGGGGGGGGGGGGGAGGGTTAAAAAAAGAAAGAAGAAAAGCCTTGAAAAATACCATCGGAATGAGGCATGGGTCTCTACTCAGCACTGCCACTTACTTGCTTAGAACCACGTCATGAGCAACTCTGACTACCTGAGCAGCAGCAACAGCAACAAACAAGAGCCCTTCCCGAGAATAAACATTTAAAACAACAACAACAAGATAGTTGAGTATCCTGTGGAAGTGACAATAACTACCGCTAGTGCCTGTAAGTCTATGTGTTTCTGTAGCATTGTAGTCATCCGGTAGCTTTTGCCTGTTTGCCTGTTTGCATTCGACTACAACAAGTGGCGTGAAGTAAAAATCAAACCTACCAGTCGGAACAGCGCACTGCACTATAGCCTATCCTAGTACACAATCAGTAGAGCAGGTCGTTGGTGGAGTAGTGGGCAAGTCCTTGCCAGACCAGAAAATGCCATTAGTCTTGAGTATCATATCCCGCTCTAGAACTACATTGTAACTATCACATAGTAGAACTTACTGTGTCGTTGAGAGCTTGACACTTCCAGACAACGTAATTGTTATGGAGTTTTTAGATGCCACTTCACCCATTGTTTATCCTAACACGGCGTTATATAGGTAGACAGACTTGTAGACGCACATACACCAGCCAGTTTTGACAATGAAGAGCAGATTGCTGATAGTGGTCTACATCGTTGGGATGCTTGGAGTGAAACCATCGCACTTTGGAGCAGCAGGTAAGAATATACAAGTGTGTGTCGATCTGATCACTCAAACAATGCCAAGATCAATAGACAACTAGTGCTTTCAGCGCACTACATTATTTACTTTGACATTGTAATACGTGATGCCACCATTTGTAGCACTACCCTGCTACAACCACCACTGATATCCGCTTAAAGCATCGAGAGTTACAGCCCAGCAAAATACGAAGAACATTAATTTTGTAAGGATCTGTTGCACAGAGGCAATATGCTTTGGTTCTGCAAGAGTGCTCAATGCCTGATTCAGGCAGAGCCTCTGAAATAGCCTGTCCCTGTATACATTCACGCGATTAATCCTCTCGCTATCGTACGTTATTATCACACCTCTCTCCACTTAGATATACCAGCGCTGCCTCCTATTCCATTATCGTTGTCTGATAATTGGTTCAGCCATGAAACTCTGAGTCACAACGGAGTTAATTTGCCAAGGCTTTCATTGTGTGCCTTTGTGTAAGGATCTGCTGGCATTTCATTCAGAACTCCTATCTAGAAAGTGTGCAATTCTCCGTATGCTGGCCTATCTAACATCTTTTCTGTGCTTCAAATACATTCGCGACTCCGCTGATCAGCTCTGCTAGAGCCAAACAGCGGGGTTTTTTTACTTGATAACCTACTTGAAACCACGCACCCAATTCATAAACCCAAAAAGAAGGAGGAAATGATATCTCATCTCCCAACTACTAATACTACTAAGTTATCTATTTGACCTTGCCTCTAATATCACCTACCTAGCAACCGATCTACTTGGCCAGTTTTCCGACACTGAGCAAGTAGCTACATATTATTTGTGTTCCGTCTGTGTAATTCCTCTACAGCAGATGCAATAGCCAACGAAAAATCAGCAAATCCGGAGTCCAAATCAGTATTACCAAGTGTTTCAGCAGCTACGGAGAGGCGAATTATTCTACCCGAAACAGGACCATCAACCGCTCTTAGTCTAGGCCTGAACGTTCCCTTGATTTTCCTGGCCTTGTCTGCTCTTCTAGCGCTTCTATATCGAATGAAGTGCAAGTCCCGCTCGGCAATCGTTTCTTCTCGGAAGCGAAATGGAAAAAAGAGAAACTTGCCGATCCCGTCTGCCTCAGTCCGCCATCAAACATTCCGCAAAGTGGCACCAGATCCATGTGGGAGTCCGCAATACGATGAAGCTATCGACTCGAGCGAAGCAAGCTTTGCCTTCAACTCGCCCAAATCCATGACCAATAAAACAAATCAGAATCGTGCCCATTTGCATGTGTCCAAAGCTCCATCTAATGGTGAACACACCAATGATTCACTCTATGAATATCTGGATGCACCTACCGGTAAATACGCCAGTGCTGAAGTGCCCACCCCAAGGACACTGCCGTCTATCACAGACCTCCCTTCGCACAGCCCCATAGTGGCAACAGATCATTCGCGAAGTCCATACTATATTGATGCCATCAATCCGAGGAAAGAAGGCATTACCGTCAGCGATCCCAAATCCTCCTCCATGATTGACAACACAAAGCAGGATTGCATCCACGTACAGATGGCCACAACTCCACATAAGGGTGGAACAACCTATGATTCACTGCGCGCTGGCCTGAAGACACCTGAAGACGCCAAGGCTGAAGCGCAAGGTCGTGACTACACGCGACTATCTGCGCGTACACAAGCACATCCCAACTCTTACGAAAGTCTTGGTCCCCAAGGCAACGATGTCCACAGTGGGGAATCCCCGGAATCACCACCAGGCCTCAAGCCTGATGGTCATACCTTGTCTACATGTGACGTTACATACAATGCACCCGACTCAGTGGAATATAGCAACGCGTCGGCTCCCGGCACACAAGCTGTTTAAACTCCTCCAATGCCAAATGCCTGTGTGGAAGCCATTCCTGAAGCTTGACCTGCAAGCAAAGCCTAAATCCAGCAGCTACTTCAGCTTCTATACAATGAACACTATCGCCAAAAGATGGTAATTGACACAGTGTGGACGTGAGCTTCTACTGCTGGAAAATGGATTGTAGGAATGTATTGCTATCGGAATCCGGTCGTTTGGGACCAAGTGGAATGTGATGACACACGAACTTTGTTTTGTCCGTGGCAGACTGAGTTTGAATATTCTGGAGTGTCTTGCAATGCCTTTACAAAATCTGTTTTTATTAACCTCGGGTACTGTCCTCTCCTATTATTTTCTTATTTTTTACATTTTAACTAACCCTGTCGCATATTGCATACAGTAACCTTCGTTCAATACAAAATGGAAGGGTGCAGTGTTTTTAAGATTTTTGTTAATTAATGGTAGCACTGGACTATGTTTGTTCAATTCGGCGGATCTTGAAAAAGAATGGCTTCAGGTTTTGGAAATGAACAGTTATCACCCTAATTTCAATTCATCTGCCGCCACCTTTCACACAACCACTACATTTTAATGTTGAAAACACACGCGGATGGTTTCGACAGTGCTATGTGCACCTGCGAGCTGCTATGATTCGTACTTTAATCAAGGTCTACACTAGTTAGACTACATTGCACTGTACTGTATACATGTACGTGTACACGTACATTGGTATTGCTTGCTTTAGGTATTTCAAAGGCGTACTACCGTGACACTACACTGTACTACCGTGACACTACACTGTATTTTTACTTTAGAAGTACGAGATGCCACTGACGGCAGTTGTTGTTGTTGTTTATTTATTTTACATCGCGTGGCAAACGGGCAGTTCTGCCCAATATTATGAAAGCGATGACAACCAGTAAGAAGAGTCAGAAATGAAGAGAAAATAAATGAAAATAAAAATACGAAAACGGAAGTAGCAATGAGGGGAGGCAGGGTCAAGACGAGCAGAAAAAATGGATCTCAAATTTGGAAGTCGGGTCATCGTAGCATGATTCTATCGAGTCTCGTCACGGGGAGACGCTCACGAAGTTATTTTTAAAAGTTTTCAGAATGCTATTGTGAGTACACAACTATTATTTTATCGTTGCGATTTTGCAACTATTGTCTCCTCGTTGTTTAAAATATTTACTGAAGTACATGTACATGTACTTGTATGTAAGTACTAATGTGACTTTATTTTGCCCGTAAAAGAGGTCGTTACCCCAGAAAAAAGACTAATGTGACTGAGTACATGTATGTACATGTAAGTACTAATGTGACCAGCTACAGCAGAACCAGCCCGAGGGACTGTCACTGCCGGTGAGAATGCCATTTCGATTTCTAAAATAATAATTCTGCCTGGGGGTTTTTCCGTGGTTCGGCTGTCGACCAAAAAGATCCACGCGAATCTTTTGTCTGGGCCTCTAATGGCACGCAATGCTTCGGATATCCAGCACGGAAAAAAACTCGTCAGCTCGCTCGATTTGGCACGTTTCTTTACTCAAGTGTGAGCCAAATTGACAGACGCTGCAAGAGCGCAGTGAGCCCACGCACCAACGCATGGCAACAAGAAATTCGATATGATCATATGACCAAGCACTGGTCTCACAATGAAGGGTAAAAATGTCAATGCGTTTTTCTGCCGTGAACTTGCAATAGGTGTCCGATGGCACCCGGTAGTAACCGCACGTGTACACTGTGATTCTCGAACCCCCTCAAATACAGTTTGGGAAGCCATAGTTCACAGCCTCAATTCTCTTTCAACAGTGCCAGCACACACGTCCGATCCTTGAGCGGTGCGCTCCCATCGCAAAGACCCAGCACGGGATTGTAAAACTACGGAATAGAGGCCGCTAGAATGTGAACGTACCGCTCATTGGTCGGATTTCAGTTGCCAGCACTGTGGTGTACAATGTGTATGTAGAGAATCCGGTGCAACAAAAGGTGCCCTTTCCCAGTTTTCCGCAACCCTGGCCCTGTGCGATACTAATATTTCGACCGCGTGTCCTGAAGCGATCGACAAGCTTGAGAAGCTGATCAGATGTAAGACGAGACGAGAGACGCGTGCTGTATTGAAATACCGGCGGTCGTTGTAAGGTGTTGTAGGGAAATAACAACCTGAGCTAACTGCGTTTTGTGCTGTGTGCTGAGCCAATGCCAGGTAAAACCTGGCACCTGCCACTTCCAGCATTCTTGCAAGCTAGCAAAATTTTAAAGACAAATGAACACACGAGAGAAAGAGAGAGAAGGGAAGCCGTGTTGCAACTCCGAGTTTCACGCAGTCACGATCCTCAGGCTACAATAAAAAAATTTAAAGGCTTTCCTCGAGTCTGCACTTGGAATTTAGTGCTTTCATATGATCGCTCATCCTTGAACTGACGTTTTGCTCAGAAGGAGAACACCACAGAGACACAGTTGTCACGGCAAGGTGTCCATTCAGGGCGTGTGCTGTACAATTTACCTATCTTCTGTTGGAGTCTCGAACGATAGGATACATTTGCAGGCGGGTTGACATCATCCAGTTGTGAAAATGAAGTACGGATTGGAGATAGCGGTGTTCGTCGTAGGCACTGTTATGTTCGGAGTAATACCACCGTGCACTGGAGCAACACCATCAGGTGAGATGACACTAGTGTGTGTACATGTGACCACTCCAATTAATTTATTTTTTTATAACACCGAGGCTCCACTGCAGCCAATTCTTATGATCAGTCACCACCCCTACACAAAAGTCGTTGACGCTGCAATGTCAACGTCAACGTCAACGTCAACGTCAACGTCAACGACCTTTGTGTAGTGGTGGTGATTGATCATAACACTCCAATTATACCAACAAGAATTCGTCACAACGGCATTCATTATTCATTGTACCGTCTATTTCTAACGGGATGTGCCTGGGGGTCACTGTGTGGTTAAAACGTCAACCCCTCGGGTGGCCCAACTGGGATTTGGTGTTTGACTTGGGTTGAGCAGACACCGGCGATGGGATGGATAGAGGCGCACTGCTCTCACTATAATACTGAGCTCATCAAGGTCTCAAGACTCGCTTGGACTTGTACTGCCACGAGCCTCCTCTCGATTTGGTTATTCCTCTCTTTCTTATTTAGCCCCTGACCGCTGGAACTCAGTTCCGGCATCGGTCCGCCTTGCTGCTTCACCAAGTCAATTTCGTATCGCACTCCTAGATTGGCTAGGGTACCCCGTAAGGAGACCATAGGTCTGTGGGGACTGCCCTAGAGAAATATGAATAAATACTATACTATACTATCAAAACAGGAGGTCTAAAACCTTCTGTCTCTACGGTCAGAATGGTCTATTGGTTACGTCATCATTATTATCACACGAAGAGACGAAGCCAGTTGTGACACTGATCAGGCCTTTCGTATCATTACTGATTGGAGCAGTACGAAAGGTCTCATCATTTTCACAACTGCCTTCGTCCAATCGTGTGATAATAATTACCAGAACCGGCGAAGCGGTCATTGGATGTACTTCGATGAACAAAAATAAAAGATGGATAATAAGGTTTCCTAACACGCTTTCTAGAGACATCCAGCAGGGAAATGCGTCTCAATAATGAAATCTAGCAATAAACAACAATATATACGTGGAAGAGCACGAAATGCACCATATTGAAAGAAATAGGAAAAAGAAGGTGAAGTGCGAACGACTAGAGAAGTGGGACCAAATAACAGGGGTGGGCAGGGGAGAAATAATACTTGGGATAAAAACAATGTGAGACTTAGAGAGGGTGAAGTGTAAGGAGTACGTGCACGGGTATGTGGGTGGGTGTATGTGTGCATCCTTTATTCCCTGTGAGGAATCGTCTTTACAGCTAGCACCGCTTCGGCAATGGGCGTGCTAAGGGCTAAAGAGTGTAAATAATATTGTGCTTATGTGTGTGTCTGTTTATCTGCCTGGTTGTGTGTGTGTCTAATGTGTGTGTGTTTGTGCGTGTGTATGTGTGTGTGTGCGAGTGCGTGCATGGTGTGTGTGTGTGTGTGCATGATGTGCGTGTGTGTGCGTGTGTGTGTGTGTGTGTGTGTGTGTGTGTGTGGTCGTCCTCGTGAACATGTATGTGTGCAACATGTCTCTCTCCCTACTCCAGTCTCACCAGCATACACATCGTCACAAAGCCCAATCAATCTCACACTAGATATGAAGCTGACCAGCGCTGAAGAAACTAATAGCACACAAACTACCACCTCTCCTCTACCCACAACGTCTACACCTGCTACAGCGACTACAGTCTCCACTCCGGGGACTACCTCTACACGAGCCAACACCGAATCATCTACTCTACTCTATACCAACAGCCTATTATATATTGCCGAACAGGAGTGTAACAGATGCCAGTCCAGTAGTGACAAGTACTACTGAGACCGTGGAGAGCCCGGTGGGTATGAATACTGTCGTTCTCACAACAGGGCCATCAACTGGTATTATCCTGGGCATCATTGTGCCCTTACTAGTCCTGACACTGTTTGTACTGCTGACACTTCTACATCGAATGAAGCAGCGTGACCCGCTGTCAGTGACGTGCCAACCAGGTCGGAAAATTGGAGAAACGGATGAATCAATGGTACCGCCGACCCCGGCGCCTAGGCATACAGCCCGGTCTGGGACATGCAATGTCGCGTCAGCCAATCCCTCCCAGACTTCCTTACATGTATACATTGAAATTGAAACTTCGAACGAAGCAAACAAACCTCTGAACTTGCCCAGGTATTCCTTTACGACCGACGACGCGAAGCAGGAACATGATGATGTCGCCATGGCAGCAGAAAATGGTGCTCAACACAGCCAAGATCCACTGTGTGTTGATCTGGAGGCACGTGCAGACGTCGCTGCTCAAGCACAACTGCCAAATTACACGCAACTGTCTGCAAGTACGCAAACACATCCTAACCCGTACCAGAGTCTCGATCTCCATAGCAACAACACTCACAACGATGAATCCTCTAGCGTCAACGAAACAACCGATTCTGTGAGTACGCCCAGGTCCTCCTCTGTGGCCAAAAGCCACCATACCTACGCTCCCCGCGTATGCGAACGCCCTGCCAATCATACCCCTGATTACACACAACTGTCTGCAAGTACGCAATCACATCCTCACCCTTACCAAAGTATCGGTCTCCATAACAACGACACTCGCATAGGTGACTCCTATGCTGAGAGCGAATCCAACAATTCCATGAGCATGTCCAGGTCACTCTGTGTGACCGACAACACAAAGCAGGAACATGAAGATGTTGCCATAGTGATACAAAACCATCCCTTGTCTACCTCGGTCTGACCATCGCTTTGTATGTTGGTAATCCCTTCCTTCCCCTTTTGTGTACGCGTTTTTTCATTTTCTTTTTTCCTCTTTTTCCGTGGTTGGCCTCACCCTCTCCTCAATTCAATTGGCCATCTTGGCATGCTGCGAGGTGCATAAATACATAAATAAATCATTAAATCATAGAGGAGAGATCCGCAATTTTGAGGAGCAGTTGGAGCGAGCATGCGCTAAAGCCCGCTGCAAGGTTGCCACGTTCCTCAATGGGCGTCGTGACGCAGTGTACACATTGAGAGCACCTACGGTACATGTACACTGTAGGACTATGGCAGCACAATCGTCATGCCTTGCCAATCTGTCAAACTCCATGCCATGTAATAATACATGACTGTGTGGACTCAGCAAGTCACACGTGCCTAGGGCGTGCCTGTGACTTTACTACTGTACTGG